TTCACCCTTTAACTTGGAATGCAGAAGGAAGCATAGCAGAGAGCTGCTTTCCCTGGACACAGCTGAATATTCGGTTTGCACTTCCACTGTCACAATAGTTCCATTAGATTTCAAGTCACCTGAAAATCTCTCCATGCCCTGAAAGAAGAGTTCCTGTTACAGCAGTTTTTATGTTGATGGTTTTGCATCTATTTTGGTTTATTCATAATCTTAGCAGTTTCTGGCCAGATTCTTGGTGACCTTTAGGCCTGAGCTAGTCCTCCTCTCCTTTTTAATTCTTCAAATGGTCACTCTTAGTGTTGTATATCCCTGTGCCTCTCCTCCTCCCCTCTCCACGCTATCTCATGAGAGAGAAAAATACCCCTTGCGCTCTTTGTGTCCCTCCTGGCAGTTTCCAGCTCTGCATCTATCTCATGTTACCCTGCAGGGCAGCAGGGATGTGACTGAAGTTTTTTCACTCAGTTGATGAGCAGTAAGTGCTTTTCACCAAACCATGGTGTGCTGAGTTTACCTTGGCTAAGGGCCAAACTCCCACCCAGTCGCACTCTCACACTCCCCCATCTCAGCAGGGCTGGGGGAGAAAATGACACGAAAATGCTTGTAAGTTGAAAACATGGAGATCACCAATTACTGTTATGGGCAAAACAGCTTCAACTTGGGGAAAACGGATTTAATTTATTGTCAATTAAAATAGAGTTGGATAGTGAGAAACAAAACAAAAATTTAAATACTTTCTCCCCCCAACTCAATGTCATTCCTTTACTCCTCTGTGTCCTGCCAAGTGGTGCAGAGGGATGGGGGTTGTGGTCTGTCTGCAACAGCTCCTTTCTCCTGCTCCAGCATGGGTCTCTCCCAGGGGTGGTGATTCCTTGAGGGAAAATCCACCCAGCATGAGCTCTCAAGGGGACACAGTTCCTTCAGGGAATATCTACCTGCTCTGCCGGGATCTCTCTGTGGGCTGCAGGGGAACCTCCACTCCGGTTCCTGGAGCACCTCCTCTCCCTCCTGCACCCCTGACCTGGCTGGGTGCAGGGCACTCTCTCACCCTTTTCTCCCCTCACTCGTAAGTGCTCTGGCGTTTTTGCTCTTTTTAAAACACTCTCTGATGGAGGCACCACCAGCTGCACTGGCGGGCTGGGCTGTGGCTGTGCTGGGGGCTGCTGCAGGGCTGGTGCTGGCCTCTCCTCACCAAGGCTCCTGCAGTCCCGCTGCCCACACCTGGGCAGGGACACCTAAAGCACACAGGATTCGTATGGCTCCTGTCTGCATGAAAGGCAAGAATAAAAACCCAGGTGAGTGCAGGTTTTGTCAGGGTTTAGTTTTGTTATTTTTTTTAAATACGTTTTGGCAGCGGAGCCACCTCTCCGTTGGAAACCATTGCTGCTATTGCAGTAACTCCCAGAGCAGTGAGGGAGATTATCAGGGCCCATAGCGTGCCATGTGCTCTGTGGTCCCCCACTGGGAAACAGTTTTGGAGAGCAGGGAAGACCCGTCGTTATTCTCACTTTTTGGGGAGGGAATCGGGTGTGGTGAAGAATCAGAAATAAAACCAGCTGCTGAGTTCCAGCCCAATGCTTTAGCCAGCAGCCATCCTTCCAGATATTTTTTTTTTTCCTTCTCCTGAATTACTTTTAATAGAAGGAGTGTGATTATCTAGTTATCCAGTTCTGCTTGACCTTCAGTATCCTCCAGTAGATTTAAAAGGCATTACGAAATAATAAGTTCTGTAGTGCAATAAAAGGTTTCCAGAAATACAATGTGATGATGCTAAGAATGACCAAAAACTCCTAGAAAACCTTTGGAGACATTGGTGTGCACCAGGGTCCTGGCGCCATCCCATTCAGCCAGGACAAATGGACTCGAGTCAGTGATTATCACTTTATTTGCACATGCCCCATCTCTTACACTTGGGGAGTCCTTAAGGCTGTGCAAGTTTGTTGTGAATCAGCAACACTCTGTGCTTTAAGGGCTTTGTGCTTTCAGTCTAGAAAATGTCTGTATTTCCTCTTTGTGAGACCCTTTAGATGGTTCCCTACACGGATAAATTCACTTGCGCCGTCCAAGTAAAAGCGTGGAGTCAAACACACTTTTTACAAACCCTTCTTCGTTCCTCTCTTAGTGCAAATTAGAAGAGTAACAGCTGCGTTAATGTGGGAAGAAGCTCAGTGAGACACTTGGGTAGACATCATGGGAGTTTCATGCTGGCTTTGCTTTTTGCGTGGAGTACCCTGACAGGAATGATACAGGAACAAGAGTTGTTGTCAATGTTGAACTCTAAATTTTCTCCAAGGACAATTGCATTTTCAAGGGGAAGCTGCTTTTAGGGTTCCCATGTGCCCCAGAGTAAGGCACCAAATGCATGCAGTGCAACTAAAGATCCAGGCTTTTATTTGCAGACCTTTTTTAGCAGCACTATGTTATTTCAACATCGTTTTAATTTTAAGTGATTGAATCTGTGCGAGTAGATTGAAATGAACCATTGCCTATCCACATTAAGTGTTCTCATGTGCATTTGTGTGTAACTTTAGGTTCTTAAAAGAAGACAATGGGCACATTTCCATGCTTTATTTTTTTTAATTTAACACAGATTGATGCGTTTTGGAATAAAATGTAAACCCTCAACAGTTTGGCACATGGAGAAACTCAACTTGGAAAAAAAGAAAGAAAAATATGGAAAGCTTATAAATCTTAACTTGGACTTACTTCTGAGTTTGCTGTCTAGTCTATGCAGTTCACTTTGTTCCTACAGAGTTTCAGGCTCAGATATCTTGGTCGTATTCTCTTATTCCTTGTAAATTGTGTCTAGAAAAATGACACCTGCTGGGTTTTTCTTCTCTGTAAATAGCTTTTACAATTCTCAGTGTAGAAGAAGTAAAAGAATGAGCCGTTATGATTAGTTAGCAAATAACTAATGTGTGGAAATTGTGTACAAAATAAAGTGAGGTTCTAAAAATAAAATTTGAGACTGGAAAAAATTCTTCAGGCCTCAGTTACAATAAGAGTTTTTCCATCATTGAGCGGATGTTGACAAAAGACTGAGTCAGGGAAACTTGATCCATTTTCCTTTGGGTGGTTAAATTTTAAACCTGAAGCCATAAAATTACAGTACACAGTGGTCCTAGATAAGATCTGTGAGTTATATATATATGAAGTATAAGACTTCTTGAATTCGTTATCCTCCCCTCTGCCTCCAAAAAAGCGCTACCTAGATCTATTAGATCTGACTGATAAACCATTCTATTTGAAATAAAAATCTTTTTACTTCAGATTTTCTGGCTGAGCTGTGGAATATTTAGTTTATTTATTAAATTGTAAGTGTTTGACAAATAGCTGTAGTTCTCATGTTACATTTTCTTTGAGCTGAGAGTACACCTGTGCTACTTTTTGCAGTTGTGCTCGTGCATTGCAACTCAATTGTGTGTCTGAGCCTTTAGTTTAATGTACTTTCTTCTTTCTTTCCTTTGGTAGAGAGTACCCAAAGCTGCCTTTAACTAATGAGGGGAATAAGAGCTGAAGGTAAAGCTGCACACATACCAAACTTGCAGATGCAATTTGCCCTTATAGAGGTAGGGAGAAACTGATGGTAACCATCAGGGTGAGGTGTGTTGTGCATTCCTTCAGTGAACCTGGAGAGAAAGGCAGTTTGTGTGAGTGAACGTGTACGGGTGGGAATGTATATCTGGAAACAGAGCAGAGGTGTATGTCTTGTGTGTGCCTATAAAGGAAAATTTGTGTGTGCCTGGGCAGCATGTTTGTGGGAGAACTGGAAAAAATGAGAAGACATGGAAGAAAGGGTGAAAAAAGTTGCTGGAGAGAGTTCATGGAGAAGGAACTTCTGGTCTCCAGTCATGAAATGGAGATGAGTGTGATATACTATGTGCATAGTCTGAATAGAAATTACTATGAATGTATTGATAGTTAGAATAAGTTAGGAGGAGTTGTTTGGTATTTGTTACATGTATATTGGTAAGTGTAGTAGGTGTCTCATAAAATACTTCATTAGGTACCTCACCAAGTATTTTCTCTGCATTTACCTCTGCTGCCAGTATTTACATATGTCATTTTAAATCTAAATTTCTGAAATTGAATTTTTGCCAGCATTAAGGAGTAATGAGTCTTCACGGGAAGTTCGAACAAAGCATCAACAAGGCTAAACCAAAATTTTAATACATTAATCTAAAATATAGGGAGAGACGTGTTAAAACAATTATACATATTTAGCATTGCAGTAGATGTAATTCATATCTTCCTCTTGCTGTATATAAGTGCTTGTGGACATGTGTGTAACGTATGTATAAAGTAAATGTTCATTTCAGTATGCTGCTGTTGTGTTGACCTGCACAATCAGAAATGTAAGAGAAAGCAGATGTGTTCTCAATTGTATTGAAAATATAGTTTGTATTTTTTTGTGTTTTTTATTTATTACAATGCCAGTAAAGTTCATTAAAGCTGGTTTGAAAGGCAAAAACAATCTGATACCTATTAAGTAGATCACAGAGTTTTATGAACATTGAGGTCAGTCAGGAATTTTTTATAGTGCCAGGCAATGTTTTTAGGGGTTAGTCCAGCAATAGGTCTCCCCAGAGCGATGGCTGCTTTTTCCCCTGGGGTGATTTCCACTGATCTTGGATCTTCGATGCTCTCACAGAGTAATGAGGGATGGATTGATTCTGTGTGTGCACTTCGATGCGATGGTAACCTTAAAAATTGCATCAATGGCATAAATAACTTGAAAAGTCTAAAGGTTCCCAGAATGAAGGTCTTAAACTGTCATTTCCTTGGGACATGGATGTTGCTGTCACACACATGACCTTGATTTGCTCTCCACATCCGTGGTCTCGCCGAGATGCTGCCTTGGCACCAGGGCTGCTCTGTGCCCGTGGCAGTGTTGCAGCACCACTGCTTTGTGTAGGGTTGGGTCAAAGAAGAGCAGTGGACAAGGGGATTTACCTGAACCAGGCTAAACTCTTGCTTTCTTTGTTTTTTTCTTTTCTCTACAGCTCAAGCCAGGTCAAAACAGTTGCCGAGACAGTGACAGTGAAAGTGCCAGTGGGGAATCAAAAGGTTTCCATCGAAGTAGCTCTCGGGAAAGACTCAGTGACGTAAGTAAGACTCCTGCAGCCAAATACTGATCTGATTAACCCCTGGCGTAGTTTTCTGAGGGGTATAAGTCATAACAGGATTTAGTTGCTGGGATGGTTTGTTGCTAAAATCCCCTTCTCTTTGGGGGGCTGGGAGAGGAAGAGGTAATTCAGGTCTCCTGCCCCAATCCAATGAACTTCTTAAAGTTTGGTACAATGTCTGTCTGTCTGAAAACATTCATTTTGAAATGGTTTAAGGCCATTTAATGAAGTTAAAATGCTCTGCATAGTTGAGAAGTGAGATGGCCTCTTTTTACCCTGAGTGGGGAAGGAAAAGAATGTATTTATTTGGTCTAAATACTGTCTTTATGAAAAGTATTAGAGTGTCTAGAGAGACTCAGCTAATTTATATATAATGAATTGATATAACATGGCCAGCAATAGCATAAGCTCTGCCTTTATTGCTCTACCTAAACTGCTGTGGAAGATCCTAAGATGGCAGCTCTGAGGAGAACGTTTTTCTCCATTGAAGAATGCTGGCCATTCACTGAATGACACTCATGAGTTATTCTGACATATGAATAACTACAGAAATCTTTCTGTTGCTGCAATTAGATTATTATTTATTATGTGTACCATCACAATCCTTGAGTGTTTTATTCATGGCTCTGGGTCCTCTGTGCTTCACGCTTTACAACACAGAATATAAAGAGAGCCCTGTCCAAAAGAGCATCTAAATTGGGGATTTTGTAGGTCAAATCCTTTGCTGGTAAAAGCATGGATAGCTACATCAGTCATACCAATTTGTATCAGCCAGCAATCTGGCCCTACTTTTAACTAACCCATGCTTTGGAAATGGGGATTTTATCGATAGCATGTCCATGTAGATTTGGATGACAGATACCAGATGGTGTCCTCTATAGGCCAATCCAATAAAACTGAATTGAACAGACATTAAAAGAAATACCTTTGTAAAGGATATATTTCGTTGTGCAGATTTAAGCCTGAAGGCACACAGCTAGCAGTTCTTGCTGAATTGTGTCTATCACTGGAACAGCCTCCTGATTTTTATTTTCTTTTTCTGTGAAGGTGTGAAATCTGTAGCACGCTTTTTCCTCATTCTTTTGTCACATTTTGGAGGTCCATTCCTTCCCCAGAGCCAACCTTTATGGGTACATTCAGTTAGACAGTTCAGAGCCTGCCCTTCGTGGCTGTCAGGTGAGGTCAGTCTCAGGGCTGTAAGACATCTTTGGGAGAGTGAAACCAGAGGAGATAGTAAGTAAATGCTCTGTACAGGTAGCAGGGGAAGGCAGCTGACCGCCAGCCTGTCACTGTTGCCATCCGAGCTTGCTCTGAGCCCCATGGCAGCTGAGAAGTCACTGCAATGAACTTCACGATGACACAGCACCTTCCAGCAATAAATGTCACAGCTCCTTACAAACATGGCTTTAACTTAGCCTTCTCACTGCCTTGCAGTGTACTGAGTGGAGCTCTCAGACTTACTTGAGCTCCCCAGCAGCTTATAGCATTGTAGTGTCAGACCTGGCAGTGCGAGCAGAGTCCTGGTTCCCCTTCCACTGATCAAATACAGTTTTTCTCTGGTGTTTTTATAATACTGCCCCTTTGTCTTGGCACTAATGTGAATTAAAGGAAGTGGAGAACAAATATGACTTCCCTAGTGCCCCTGAAAGAGAGAATAGGGATTCACAGGTTGCTCAGAAAGAAGGTTTCCTAAATATATGTGAAAATGTATATTTTAAAATGTCACACATAATTTATTTTTTGCTTAATAAGTAAAGTTCCTTCATGCTTTGATAATTCATTGCAATACAAGCATGTCTCTCTATGGTCTAGCCTTGCCAGTTCAGTCGAGATTTGAAAAACATGCATGACAGAACTCTCATCTTGTCTGAGTGTGTGGTGGCCTTTCCCAGACTCTCGGTTAAGAAGAGTAAATACTGTTCTGCATTCCTCTCTCTCCCAAAGACAAACACCCTATGTTTTTAAATTACAAAGTGGTAGTGATACTTCCACTTCCAGCTGTGGGTGAGCCCGCCTTGAACTGCCCTCTTATGCACAAAGATACATCAAGAGCTTAATAAAGTTATTTTGAATAATATCTTTTGAAGGAGTGAGTTGTCTAATGATATCTACCAATTACTGTCCCCCAAAAAACTATAGTAAGTTTCTCTGAAGATCCTTTTCTGGTTTTGCAACTATTTTCTCAGAAAAAAAAAGATGCAGAAAGTTGTGTACTCAACAGAAGATAGACAAAAATGCAAAATAATGCAGACAGATTAACCCTGAGGTCAGAAAGCAAATTTTGGACATGAAATATAATGGATCTTCACTGATGTAGCCCAACAACGTTGTAAGATGAAGCATGGCTACTGCATGGAAATATGTATAATGAATGAAGTGCATATACTCTAGGTGGATGATCAATTTTCAAATCCCTAGTTGTAAGTAAGCTGTTGAAACAGAAATGTTAGCTTCATGAGCTTTAATGCGGAGCCTAAGTGATAGCTTAGTGACAGATGCAGAATGAGCGAGATAGTATAATGAATATCCAGTTGCACACTGACATGTCAGTGGCTTCATTCCCTCTCCTGTCAGGTATCTTTCAACTCTGCATATTGTAAATGTACCTACAGTCCTTGGATAACGCAGGTTGATGCAAAGTGTGTTTACAAGGGATGACTCCTTTCCAGGCTAATGAGATCCAAGCAGGTAATTTGCAGCATTTGCAAGAGAGGTGGTCAAAAATGAAAAGAAGATAATTCAATGAAAAGACATGTTAAACAGGAGACTTTTCTCATAATGAGGCTTGAAATAGCATCAGACAGTAGGAAGAGGAATATCCTATGTTCCTGTCAGATGCAATGCAGTGAGACTGATTTCCATCAACTCCTTCCTTTGTCCTCATCTCACACACGTGTACACACATGCACACAGCCCTCTGTTAGAGAACATAATTAGCAGAGAACTTGACCTCTGCTAGATTAGAGATAATGATTGCTCGAATGCTCCATTGCAAGCGTTTGGCAGTGCCCTAATACATCTCCCTGTTTGAATTTCATAAACCCATTTCTCTGCCTTTCTCCCCTATATAGTGTTTTTTGGAATGACAACTTGTTTTTTCCTTTATGGGCAGAGGTAGCTCCAGGGGCCTAAAAGAGAAATTGGAGAGCTGCCCCTCCTTTATATATAGGGTGCTGTAGTCACTTTAATCTCATCAAAATCTTGCCAGTAGTAGAATTCATTTTGTTGAGATTTTGCTTGGAGACAAGATGGCAGCACTTTCTCTTCCCCTTAGCTTGGAGTTCAGTCAACTTGTTTTCCTTATCTTTCTGTATGTATTTATTTTCAACTGAGTCTTCCCACTTCAGAAAACATGGGGTACTTTTTAGCCATGTTTTACAAAGCAGCTAGGAGATTACTTGAGGAAAACATGAGAATTACAGCTAACGTAGATGGCAAACACACAGAATATTCAGAGGTTCAACCACCTCTTTGCTAATCAGAAACAAATTAAAAAAAGAGATTTCTTTGGTGCACATTCCTAAATTCCTCATCTACCACCAAACTGAAGCTCACACTCAGCTGTAAAGTCATTTCTAGCCCTGTTAGAAATCTGATGTCTGTGAAACAAACCTTGCTCAGTACTTTGGTAATGATGATGCAGTGGCAGTGGGAGCCTGCGCTGATGGGTGAGGGATGCCAAGCTGCTTTGGGCACCCTCAGCCCAGCCTGCTGCTTCTGGTGTTGGTTGCAGGCTTTCAGCGAGGGGATGAATAGTAAAAGCCTCTCACACGTGGTCGTCATCTGGGGGGCAGCACAGGTTTTCCACTCTTGCTGCACAACAGACGCGTGGACTGCCTGGCCTCTGCTTGCTTTTGCTGAGCAAGGAAGGAATCACAAGCCAGGAGAAATAGTCAGACCTTTCTGTCTGGAATATTGTCCCAGTTCTTGAATAGGGAGTGGGACAGAAATCTTCCCATTTGTCCCCTACAATAAAGGTCTTATCTTGGTCTCTCATCAAAGCTGACACACTCCTTCATGATGCTGCCCCTTCCCCAGCGCTTCGTAGCTGTGTGCTCCTACTGTGTTGTGCACTTTGCTCTTGAGGATAGGTGAGGTGTCAGTGACCTGCCCACCAGGCCTCTTGCTGTCTGCTTTGGGAAGAAAGGTGTCTGCATCCCCAGCAGTGCAACCCTGTGGACAGCTCACGGCTTTGGCCTCAAATACGAGATTTTCAATTCTCTGTCTCCCGTTCCTCCCACCTCTGTAGCGAGCCCAAAGAAAGACAAATTGAGGAACAATCTTAGAGTTATGTGCTCTGAAATCCTTCGTACTTGTCCTTCTCCAGAATATCCCTGGTAATCTTGGCTGTATCTAAAGTGGAATAACACCAGCAAAGCTCTGTGTGTGTGTATGTGCCAGAAGCTGATCAGCTGCAGTGGCTGCTTCTTTTTTTGTGTGTGTGTGTGTGTGTGTGTGTATGCGAGGGTGTGTATGTGTGTGTTTGTGTGTCTAAGGTTGGGTGCTTAAATGCTTTGTTGCATTATGTTAATTCCTCGGCAGTGCAATCAAATTCATGTCGTAATTAAAGCTGTCAGTTGGAAGGCAAGCCAATCGCCAAGAAAACACAGCATAACAAATGAAGTGAAATGATTCTGCGTGTAGCTATACAATGCTTCGCCAGGCATGAAATTAAATAAGTAATTTGATGTTGACATCAGAAATTGAAATGATACCCACTGTTCCTTCATTCAGTCAGACCTGCATAAACAATAGCCAGAACAAATATGTACAACACAGTGTTTCTCCCCACCCAGCTCCCCAAGTAATGCACAATATATATGCAAAATGGGTATAACTGTGCCTTCCAAGACCTCAAGGATGTAATTTTCTTTGGTACACAATAAACTAATGCTTACACAAGGGTTACTACATTTTTGCTCCTGGGCCAAAAGTTCTTCTCTTTAAGAAAGGAAGGAAAAAAAAAAAAAAAAAAGCAGAAGGAAAATAACAAAACCAAAACCCTGGTAATTTTAAGCAAGTGACTTGTGTTTTGCTGATGGGCACCTGATGCAGGCTTCTGCTGGTGGTTGTGTGAATATCAAATAGTATATCTAATGTCGAATTTTGCAAAGGGTTTCGGAAAGTGAAACCATTACCTCTATTATAGGCACACTTTATATAAGAGATGTAGAACCATCCAGTGCAGGATCACGACTCAGCATGGGCTTGTAAAGATGCTGCATACACAGTATCACATTCATCAGTTGGTACCAAGGCTGGGCACTGGGTAGTAGGATCCTTTCGCTATTGGGAGTTATCAAAAAAGGTGAGAAGCTGTCTTCTTGCATAGCCCTTGCTTCAGCCTATATGCTCTGTCAAAACACAGTTCACAACACAGCTAACTTAGTCATTCATGCATGTGCAATACAGTCTTTCTTACTTCAATTAAAAATATGTACTCTCCATATGCAGCATGCAATGTGTGAAGGGCTATATTTCCATCCAGCAAACTCAAATTCCCTGAAAATGCACAGTTGTTTCTTTTCAGTGAAAGTCATTTGACTGCTATGTTTCGACTGTCCTTCCATAGCCATTGCAGCATTGCTTTTGAAGGAATGGAAATACTCAGTGGGAAATATTTTGTTTGCTTATTCTTTTTTCTTCCTTTTTATTGTTTTGTTTTGATACTTGATCCTTCCAAAACTTGGAATAAAAAGCAGACAAAAATTACACACAGATGCAGAATGCAAACTTTGGAGCTTTCAGCCTGTAAAGTAAGTTTTAAAAATTGTGAGTGAAAGAGTGGGACTCGATTGGTGCCTGTACATAGCTTAAACAAAAGTGGTTATAATGACTGCACGTGTTGGACTTCACGCATAGATCTCGAGCTTAAATTAAAAGAATTTAAATGGCATGAAGCAGAAAGCAGAACGAGTGAAGTGGAAGGCGGTATATATGATGTGCTTTACCAGGAAAATAAATGCATTAGACACTAAACTGGAATGTGCTGAATCGTGCTCTCTCCTGGGTGCCGCTGAGCTGCGGGCTGCAGGCGCTCACAAAACCTTTGTTGTGGCCCACGAAAGGGCTTTTCGAGGTGGGATCGGCGGCCGGGCTGTGCGATGGCCGTGCAGCGGGGGTTACCAGGTCGTTCCCAGCTGCGTGGTCGCGGGGACGCGGAGGAGAGCCGAGCAGACAGGCTGGGCCCAGCGGCCCCGCAGCCGCGTGTGCCCAGATCTGCGCCGCCACTGCCCTGCCCCGCGGCCGGGCACTGCTGCAAGGCGCTCTCAGGGACATCGGCACCCGGACCGCGTGGGCCTTGCTGCGGATGATGGTGGCAGAGGGAGCTTGAGGCCCCAGAGCAGCAAGAGTAGGCCCAGAAGGACTTAAGAAATTATTTATTTATTTATTTTATTTCCGTGGAACTCCCCTTGCACACTAATAACCAAATCTGTAGACTGCAGATCTTGAGTCCTTTAGTAGCCACACCAGAGAGTATTAAGGGACAGGAACCACACACCTTCCAGATTTCCATCGCACTTTTGTTTGTTCATATAAGATGTCCCAACAGAGTTTGTTGATTTTATGATATTGGTACCCTTAGAACTACCAGGGTGATTTCCTCTTGCTAAATCTTTAGCTTCTAATGTCTTAAACCATCAGGCCTTCCCCTATGTGTGTGTAACCTCGCTGAACCTCTCCTTTTGGTAGTGCTTTGGTGAACACACAGTAATTTTCTGATTAGTTGCGATGGATTTTGTTGTTAATTTTAAATATCTTGGCACAAGCTATTTTTGCTGTGCCGAGTTCAGTAAAAAAGATCCCAGTAAGCCCCTTGTGAGGATTTGTTTTCTTTTATGTCAGTAATGCGCTCCATGATCAGAAATCGAGAGAATTTGCTGTTAGGGTTCCCTGCAATAGTGTCTCAGAAGAGGGGTTACAGCCACGCACATTCTGCATGTTTCCAGTGATTTGCCAAGGCTGGCTGGGGCCCCTGTGAGGTTCCTGGTAGTCACTGAGCTCTGTCGTTACTGGAAGGGAGGTTGTGCTAAGGAACAGAAACAGGAATTGAGCTTTAGGAGTTAAAGACTGGTCATCTGGACGACCCGCTGCTCAGCAGAGCATTATCCTCTGCGTTTTGCTTCCTTGTCCATCGACTGGCCTGGCTTGAAATGTTTGAGGTGATAGGTCTGTAGCGTTGGGAGCTCTTCACCCTTTAATGTAACAGCCAGTGACCTGGATTAGGACTGAGACGTTTTAGGTCTCTCACCATGTCTCTAAGAGAACCTGCTGTGTAATCCCCATTGCTTAGATGAAAAACTAATGAAACAAAACCCTTTATCTCCTTAATTCCTGTGAATGTAGAGGTTGCGATCGTGTCCCACTTAAACTGAATTTCATGATGCATTTTTTTAAGCATTTAAACCTTTTGATTATTTTCCATGGTAGTAATATTAGTTTTAATTATTTTTATGGGTTTGAGTTTTGAGATCTATTTCACACTGTAGATATTTGTTTGTTTTTTCTTTTCTTTTTAAATCCCTGGTTTGTCAAACAATGTGGACATCCAAATGGGAAATTGTAGTGATGGCATTCTCCAGGAAATGGTACATTGACTGAAGCGGCTTCTCTGTGCCCACGCGTTCTTTACATTTCAGACTACTAATTATGTTTACAAAATGTCTCATTTTAGAAAAGCACTATGTGTGTACTAACCAGGGCCTTTCGGGAATAAATTGGCAAACAGGTCATACACTGAAAAAGTCATCCAAACCCACCGGGCTTTTTGTTTTGAAGTCAGTCTACATTTTTTTCTTTTTCCCCTCCCGCCTGCCCCTTTGTGGCCACAAAGCTGAGTAGCTGGAGTCCAGGGCATTGAATGTCAGCATGTCAGGGAGGCTGGTTGATGAGTGTCTGTTTAGTCTCAGTGCAGGGCGAAATGCCATCATTAATTCATTACCCAGCTGCCTGTCAAATAAATTGGCAATTACGTCCACCGCAGAAGCTTGGAATTCAGTAAATAGCACGTTACCATCTCAGAGTCGTTGAGAGATGTAAAGGGAAAAATTAAGCAACACCGTGTTTGTTTCAGTAGCAGATGACAAGGGGCAGCACATTGGTGCTGTGATGTAGTGATGAAAAGCTTGGAAAGGGCTGGTAATGAGCTATGTGGATTGGAACGTGTTAAAAACCATCACTGACTTTCCACTTTGTCTTTGTGTTTTATTGCAGAGCTCAGCTCCTTCCAGCTTGGGAACAGGCTACTTTGTAAGTGTATCTCAACTTTAACACATGTGCCTCTGAACAGCATAGCATTACTCCTGAAACAAAAGTACCTTATTACATGGAAGCAGGAATAAATAACCACTCTGTCTGCCCAATAGGTTAACTTACCTTTTTCTATTCCTTCCTCCACAAATGCATTGGAAGTAGTATTTCAGACATGGTGGTCAATGTTTTCCTGAACTAATCAGGTGTCATATTAATGACTACATGCATTCCAACAGTATTTAATTTACACAATTATAGCAAATAAAATGAACCATGGTCTTACCGGCTCTCTAATCTGAGACAGTAGGATCTTGATTTCCCCTTGTACTCATTGATTCCTAGACTTCACAGAGCCCATTGCAGCAGTCTTGTCTCATCTCCTGTGTACCATAGTCCAGAGAACATGACACAGAGGTTTCCACCTGTTGATTAAAAGCCCCACATCTCACAGATGATCTTGGAAAATGCAGCTATCATTGTATTTACACTAGATTTACATTTTATGTCATGAGAAGAGGATCAGGCCCCAGCTGGTTTGATAATTGATCAGTCCTCTTTTGTTACTTATTTGCATGCCCCTTTATTGATTCAACAGTCTATATTCATACCTTTCTATCTGTTTATTCCCACATTCATCAATATACCTTTTACTTTCACAGATAAGTTTGGGAGTAAAAAATGTTTTCCAGTCGATCCAATGCACTGTTTATTTTCCTCCAAGATTTGTATTTAAACTGTCATATCCTGTTTCACTCGTAATGTATGCTGTATTCTCCAAGAATGTTTTTCCTGCCTTTATAATATCTTTAGGGGAAATAGAGCATTACGTTATGTCCAAAAACAGGTGGGTAAAATGCAGCGAGACTTTTCTTATAGTATTGCTCTATATAGTTAAAAGTATAATCAAAGCCTGCTTCTATCTTTTCATCGAACTCTGGGGAAAAAAAACCCTATATAGTATTTGATTACATGATGGAAAAACTTTGTTGATCTCTTGTCAGATTCCCAGAGGGTAATTTTCTTCCATTAGTACATTTAGTCTTTTTTCATAAAGTTCTGTGATCCTGTAAGAAAATTATGGGATTAAACCGCGTATGTGTGACCTCACATATAAAGTGTAAAATGGAAGCACAAAAATTCCTTGATACCTGGAGAAATGCTGTGTCCTGCTGGATTTACGTTGGACTTCTGCACAAACTGAATATTTGTATTTCTCCCAGTGGTAAGGTCTGAAAAGAGCGTTATCAATTGAAAACGTTTTGTGGTAGTTTTTCTAATTACACCAAAGCCGGAATCAGTGTAAGGTAAGTTGTGAAACAGGAAAAAAATGGGTTTCTTTTTTTCATCACTTCCCCTGTTTTGTGTCATATGTATGTTTTAAGATCAAGGGGATGAAGTGAAGACTAATATCAAATGGCTTAACGTTTATTTTGCGTTAAGACTAAAACTTGAATCTCTTTCCGTAGTTCAGAACATATTGCTTTCCTTTGTCTGGGCACTTAAAATTCAAATCATACGAACATATACAGACGTGCTCTGGAATGGGATAAATATAATATGGCATGGAAGGCTTTAACAGATATAAATAAGCCTTGTTCTCCTTATAGTGAGAGCTGAATATGCATGGTTTAAGAACAATGTTCAGCTTCATCTTTAGGAAGCAGAGGTAACAGAAGAAAAGCCATCTGCTGTTCCCTTGCACCATACTGTCTGTGGGTTGGTCCAGTAAAGTGAAAATCTGGAAGGTGTCAACATCCCCTATGCTCCAGCAAAAAGCTTGAAAGTTTCCAGTTCTCCTGAGTGAGAGATTTAGTAACAAGAAGAAGCTTGACATCTTCTAGTGCCAATGTATTGGCACTTTAAATCGTACTAATTTGGATGTGTGTAGGTTGGGGAGACATCCCTTGTTAGGTTCCATTAATATGATATATTTAACTGCACTGTTTCTGATGTATAGTCATAGTAATAATATTTCTTTAACTTTTTTTTTTTTTTTCTTCACTAATAGCAGAATAGATAGAAAATGTCTTTCAGTTTCTGTCTTAAAGTAATTTTTACATTTACACAGTCTTGGATGAAACATGGAGGGTTTTTTCCTCCCTTTTCACTTCAGAAAATTGTTTTTAGGATTATCTTGCTTATTGTTTTTAAAAAGTCCGTACTCTTATTAACTTACATGGGGCAAATAAAACCCAGATGTGATTTGCGGTACCAGACAATGAGAAAAATGCTCCAGAATGATCAAATTAGCATGTGTTTCTGATAAATGTAATTAGTGTATTATCAAAGTGCAAAAGAATATGCACTTGAATTGACTGCTTTTTTCCAAAGCTTTAAACTAGAAAAGACTGTCAGTTTTTGTGTTTAGTGTTAACCCAGAACACTGAAACAAGGGTCGTTGGTCTCAAATAAAACAAAAGCAGTTTTTAGTTTAATAGTTAGTAATAAACTTTTGCCTGTGGAAATTACTGATCAATATATGTTGTACTTTGGACTACAAAATATTATGTACTGTAGCGCACCAATGGAAACATAGGCAACCAGGTAAGTTAAAATGGACTAGTGGTAGATTCACTGTCCAAGGACCTCTACTACAGAAAGCAGAAACACAGATGGAAGCAGGTTTTAATCAGAAATTAATGAACACTGAGGTATGGATTAAATGGCTTATATGTGCTGTTTAAATACAATTATTATTGGAATCTTATTGCATTTAGGCCGTAGTGCCTAGCATGTATGTAATGGAGATAATACTTGTTGGACATGGAATCTTCTTTACCAACCTTGCTTATGCCCGACACTTGGGTGTGATGAGTGGAGGGTCATGTGTCTGCAGTGCTTGTGGATGCTGTGCATCATAGGGCGAAGCAAAATTACTTTTGGGTCCTTTTATTCTGTAGAGAGCCTCCTGAGATCACCGTGTGTTTAAGGAAACGTTTATAAACCTGTGACTTCCCATTAATACAACATCATTATTCTATATCTGCATGGTAGTTCCATCCTTGTAATTCATTATGCACCTCTGTTAGTAGTGGTGAAGTCTGAAATCTTACCTAGTTTTACGCTGTAACTAGGTAAATTCCTGAGTGGTAAAGGTGGAGGCTGAGTTCTTACATTCTTGTTGCTTCTTGAAGAGCAGTAGCTAACGGAAAAATGCACATGCTCTGGGGAGGGTGTTCATACTGCCTGCTCTGACAACCCTCCTTGGCTGTGAAGTTAGTGGAGAGGGTTGGGAATCTCCAGCAAGTGATTCAGCCTAATGGGATGATCAGAACTGCCCTTGATGACTTTTTAATTGCGTGCCTTCAGCAAAGCAGGACATGTGCAGTAACCACTGAGTGAGTGTTAGTGATGTGAGTTGTTGAGGAGTTCCAAGTACCTCTACAAGTTTTTTTTTCAGCTAGGAACATCTTATCTTCTGCTTCTTTCACAGGTAATAGTGTGTTCCATGGATTTTGTTGAAAAGCCATTTTCATTGTTGCTGGAATCAGTTTCACCCGTCTTGGCACTCCTTGTCAGAGTGGACACTTTCCTATCCTTTTAAAATATTATTAAATCAATAGTCAGGAAAGAAGCGACAGTGGTAAAAGTAATTCTAATTCTCCTAGAAGTTGTTTGTACTGGCCTGACTTTCCTGTTTTCTATGGGATCAGTCCACTCTATGATAGGTGCATGTGAAAAAAGATTTGGTTGGAAGTGCTGTTAATATTGGTGCACCCTAAAATTATCATAACTAAATACTTCCTGGAAGATCTCCCAGTTATCTTCCATATTTTTCTTCATTGCAGATTGTCATTGTCTCTCATCAAAGACAGATTATAAAGTAGGTTACATCTCATCAAGAAGTCAGATCAAATAATTGGAAAGTAGTTAGAATTTTAGGAAAAACCCCCACATTTTTATCTTTAAAAGAAAAGTTATTTCAATTTGAATTGTGTGGGGTTTTTAACGTCCAGCTGTCTGTGATTTCAGGAGATTGAGTGAGATGTTTTAGAATCTGACTGAAGCTTGAATAATATTAAAAGCTTTTTCTTTTATCTGAGTACAGAGAATGCTTTTTGCTATTTTTTTGTGTATCCTACACCCAGCCAAATTCACATTAAAGGATACAGGTGGTTCATTGGTTTGCAACACAGAACAAAAATCAAAACCTAAACAACTGAGTATTTTATCTTTGAACAACAAACCCAGTTCCCAAGATCATCAGGTTCTTTGGCGTTTGTGCGCTTTCTCTTTTTATGGCAACTTGTTTCCATTTTTTGCATTGGTCTGCTTCTCAAGTCTTTGCGGCAACTTCTGAGGGTTTTCTGGTTTTCTTGGTGGTTTGTTTTTGTTTTGGGTTTTTGTTTTTGTTTTTTAATGCTTCTTTTTGGTTAGCAGGCTTTTTTTTCCCCAGAAAGCAGAGAGTTTGAGAATTTTTTTGAGCTGGATAGAATTTAGTAATAAGCTGGTGATGGAAATAATATTGAGAAGGGAGAAGGAAACTCTTGTGACACTTCTTTTCTAAACAATGCTCTTGCTCCACCTTAAAAAAAAGGAAGAAAAATGAAAAATGTGATTTGCACATGGGCTGGTGACTCAAACATAAATCGTGAGCCTATTCCCAAAGGCTCTAGCTAATCAGTTGTGCTATCCAATTTGGCCCTCAGTGGGTTCAGTTCAGCAGATGTTTGCGTAGTTACAGCATGCCACTGGGACACTGTGTTGTGCAATGTTGCATTACATTACTCAGAGCTCTAAAAACTCATCCCAAGGAGAATAAGTGGAGCACCAGTGGTATTAGTATAGAGATGATGGAAAACCAGTATTTGGCCTAGATAAGGCCAGCAATTTCACTATGCAACAGGACTGATTTTCACCCGAGATGTTACCTTACAGAAGAGATGTGCAATTAATTTTACCAGCACATTCTCTGGGCTCATATTCTCAGACAGAGCCCTTAAAACAAGTAGATTTTCCTTCATTGCCTGCTCTATATGCAGTGCCAGTGATCCTAT